GAATGAAGGGAAGGCGCCCTTGGCCAGGAGTCAGGAAGCCTGAATCTTCGACCTAGCTTACTCGCTGAGGACTCTGGGTCAACCATTTACTTCTCCACGCTCAGTTTTATCTCTAAAACAGGGGGAAGGGAAGGTGGAATGTAAAGGGTGATCTCTAAGATCCTGGTGGTGCATGATTATATGGGGGTTATTGGACAGTTCATCAAATCCCCAAGATTAAACTCACATGGATTACAGAGAATTTACAGGGGAAGAGGTCAGAAACCTATCTGCAGACTCCGAATTAAAGCCGACGAATTAGAGGTTCCAGCTGAACAAGGATTCTTCCCAGCTTGCCCTTGGAAGAAAAAGAGAATGGCAGGACCAGCCTTTAGCGTAATGGCTACATCGCTGGACTCCCACGTAGTCAACCACAGTTCACGTCCTGGACCCGGTGGCTTAAAACTCACGCCGGGCGCGTATGCATGCGTGCCCAAGATCCCAAGAGGAGAATGGAGGAGAAGGGATTGCGGTGTGGCCATCCCCCCTGGGGGGTGATTTCTTGCTTTCTGTCTGTCTGTCTGGCAAGCACACGCGCCCTATAGCAAAAACCTCTAAAAAAAAAAAACTAAAAAGAGAATGGCTAAAAAAAAAAAAAACGAAAAAGAGAATGGCTCCAAATAAATAAATAACATTTAAAAAGAAAGAAGAAGAGAATGGAGAAGCAGCCCCATGGCCTAGCAGTGAAGGAAGCCAGCTCTTACCCAGCCGACTGGTCAATCCGAATCCCAGTCCCAGGGGTTTGAAAAATACACTGGACAAGTGTTTGCACATCCCCCAAGTCCCAAGAAGATGGAGATATGGAGGAAAGGGGGGTACGTCCTTTCTCTCCCTCTCTCTCTCTCTCTCTCTCTCTCTCTCTGGCAACTACACAAACCCTTTTAAAAAAAGCAATTATTTATTTATTTAACTCCATTTGTATTTATTATTATTATTATTAATTTTTTTGGAGAGGTTTTTGCTATAGGGCACGTGCACTTGCCAGACAGACAGAGAGAGACAGAGAGACAGAGAGACAGAAAGT